AGAATCACTAAGTTATTTATCTCCTCAAAATGAGGCTACACTACACTCTGAACAATCATGGACTGTGGTATTCTCTACTGCATATTCACATAGTCATATAACACTTTGTTAATGCATTTCTTTTTCATCTGTATTGTTATTTTTTGCCACTCCTAACAATAGTTATACAACAAAAATGAAGACAGACAGTACCTGATTTCAGACAGAGCTGTCTGCATGTTAACATGTGCAGAATAAGATGTGTGAATCACATTTCCTATGAAAAGGTCATTGTTTTGCCCGGCTACCTTCAGCAGGACACTCCCGCCTGCAGTGTTTGATTTTCAAACAGATAAGACAGAAATGACCTTAAAGCAAAGCCAGCAGTGTTACAGATTATCCTCCTGTCCCTTTAGAAATCTTAGAGGAGACAGTTGCACACAATATAGCTTGTTATTATCCAATGAAAAGCCTAAACAAAGAAAAAGGCAAAAACAGAACAAGCTGACCTTGACTAGATAGGAAATATGACTTTCTGGCAGTTTTTTTTTTTTTTTTTGTCTCATTGCACATGTACATGTGATTTCATGCACTTTATGCATCTAGTTACTCACTTGTGCCTCCTGGTGGTAGTAAGAACCCAATTCTTTGCCCCCTGTTCTGCCTGGGGAGGAAATTGCTTTCTATTTATAATGAGTTGCTGCATTTAACCAAGCCTCGCTAACAAGAAGGGCAGACTCTAGCTCTTAAAGCCTTCATGACTATCCAGCACTGAAGCAGCTCTGCAGCACCTCTGCAATTTGCACACAGTGTACAAAAGGTCCATCAATGAAAAATGCACTAAATAAAAAGTCCACACAACCCGACCTCGAGACATCAGCTCAGTGCAGCATTTTTCTGCAGTTAAATCTTCATGGCATTTTAATGTGTGACTTGGTGAAACTTAACTGCATGCTGTAGTGGCAGAGTAATATAATCTGAGCCCTGCATTTCACACTAAAGCCATATATATTCATAATTTAGGCTTTATATCAATCTTCAATCCCCTTATCGTTGAAAGGTAGTGCGTAAAATAATCTACACTACAGCATTATATGCTGGCAATACAAAACAAACACAGCAACGTCCTTTCTTGAGCTCGTCCTAATTAAACTACAGTTTTGCTGAATAACAGCAACCAAGCTGGCACACCTACCCTATAATAACAAATGATAATCTTCTGCCTTTCCTGGAAAAAAAAAATACCAATAATCCTCTGGAAGGTGTTTTGGGTCTGACATGACAGAACTACAACTAACTTCTGACAGAAAGATAACAGTAATGAGAAACATGTGTCATGCAAATAAGACAAAAGAGTTACACAATCCTAAAGCAAAGCTATGTCCCTATATGGATTGTTCACAAGGAATCGTAAATCATGCCATACCTACACATCATGTTGTCCCTTCATTTTCTCCTTATGCACTTGTTTATGAAGCATGCATGCTGCAGCATTATCATCAGCTCCGGACAAAGCCATGTGCATAGCTCTTAATTTAATTCATAATGAATGCATTCATACATTCAATCTAACACTCTTCTTCAATATATAGCTATTCATGCTCCATTAGAGAAAAGACAATAATAAATCAAACAAGAGCCTTAACAGCTTCAGCAGACGTGTATAACCATTGATTAAGTCATAGGGGATATACTATGTTTTCACTTGCAGTGCTTTGCAAATACTGGGATTAAATAAGAATGTAGATTTATTAACACAATTCCATGAATCTACAGAGGCCCTTATAATGATTGGCACCGCTGGTAAAGGTATGTTGAAAAGCGCTCATAAAGTGTGCAATGGAGACCTGGTAACTCAAGATCCCACTGATCTACCTCTTTGTTTAATTACATGATCTCTTCTATTTATTCCATTTTGATGAAAGGCGAACAGAAATTAGCCGGTGTGGGCATAGAGGTAGTGTAGGGATTAAGAGTGGATCCCATGTATGGAGGATTTAGTGCTCGACGTAGACATCACAGGTTTGGGTCTCGGTGTGGTGACCTTTGGATGTCTTCCCACTCTCTCTATTCCCATTTCTTGTCCGCCTATTTTCAAAATGAAAGCCACTTAAGCCTAAGAAATTATTCTTTATAAAAATGTGTCTCTCTGTCACATCTTTTTTTTTTTTTAAGGGAATTGAAAGGTAATTTATTACAATCTTAAATATGCTTAAATTGCATTCATAGTATGTAATACTATCACAGCCATTAGAAAAGTGCTCTCAAATAAAATCCTGTAAATTTCAGGTTTCTGTGCGACATCACGCCCTTTATTTAAAATAAAATTCCCTCTTTGAAATAACTCAATGAAAAGAAACACATCAGAGATCCAGTTCAATTATCTTGGCAAGTTGTGAGAAGTGTAACTGAAGGCAGATGATTAGGTTGATGGCTTATCAATTAGTGCGTAGCTAATAATGCTTATGAAAACTAAAAAACTAACCAGTCATATCTTAACTGGGTGAATGTGTACAACAAAAGTGACTTTGTGAAAATATGCTGAGGTTTTTAACCATACATTTTCACCAACAGTCAGTGATAATAAAACACCTTAACTTAGACCTTAACTATAGCATAACACTTATACAGAGAAGAGACATGGCACTGCACGGAAATAAACAACAAAGACAACTTCCATTGACTGGAAACAATATGGCCTGAATATTAAAGATTTTGTTATGTAATGTTTTATGTATTTGGACCATCCTATCTAAAATATACACATGGAGATAAATCCCCACTGTTGGTTCTACCTAAAGATGTAAGAGCCACAATGCAGTTACTTTTTCTTTAAAAAGAAATGTAAATCGGTTAAAAACTGTATCGGTAGTTTGAAACAAATTGTTCCTACTCCGTTAGTATTTTGCATATTTCACTATTAAACTCAACAGAAAACTGAGTATAAATGTGTAACAGGCAATGTCCCAGCTGAACCAGTTTTCCCTGATGAACCAGTGATGTGTAAACAGACACCCAGATGTCACCCTCCAGGAGGTCACAGTGAGAAGCTACACTCCTTACTTCACTAACACACGCTAGATACACCACGCTAGATAGATCATCTCTTTTTCAACACATCACATGGTGTAACCTCCACTCAGATATCTACACCAAAACTATAATCTTTTTTTTTTAAGGTTTAATGCCCTGAAATCTAACGTTCAGAGACAATCAGCTGTATGCAAGACATGTTATACACACTTCTCATTAATCATTAAACACTAAGCTTAGTTTTGCTCTTGTAAGCACTGCAGTATGAGCGTCTGTCTGCCTTCTGGAAAGTGCACTTATCCTCAGCAGTGGAAGAATGCTTACAACACTACATCACCCACAATTCATCATAAGAGACATAAATGCACAAGGTGCAGAGAGTGGTGCAATGGCCAGAAAATGCTAAAAAAAAAAAAAGGAATGCAAAATAAATAAATAAATAATAAGACAAGACTCCACATGGGGGACTGAGACATGATAAAGCACCAATTCTGTGTGTTTCTCTGAGTAGGCAGAATAAATGTGCATATCAAAGCTACTGAAAGAAAAGAATAGATGCAAAGTTCTGATGGTTTTTAAGCTCCAGCTACACAATAACACTTAGAGAATGCAGTGAGTTGAAAAAAATACTTAGGATTGTATTGTCTTGTAAAAGTATTCACATCCTTCAGTATTTATTTTTACATCTATTGCTTTACAACCAATATACTGACATATATTGTATTGTTTGTTTGTGATATGTCAACACAGCATAGCTCAGTAGAGGTGGAAGAACACGGATTACTGGAATCAGGCCATGTCCCCAAACATAGGATGAGCTTAATTTGGTGTAATGTAACATTAAAAAAAAAATCTCTCTTCTGTAAAGGCATCAGAGGTGTATTTGAGAATATTAATGAACAAAGAGCATCATAAAGACATGGGAACAAAAACTGCTCAGATCATACAAAGACATTAGCCTGGCCAGCGAGACTGATACTTCGTATGCATGGCGTCTCAGTCTGGTAAAGAGCTGGTAAAGCTTGATTTCAATGGTGAGACTAACAGGGTCAGTGTCATCAGGTTAGAACCAATCAGAAACTATGAATGAAAAACAACAACCGTAGGCAACGCACTCTATTTTTGTAATTGTGTAATCCATGATGCATGTCAAGCCGAGAAGCCACTAAAGCTGTCAATTTTTTAGGTTTTTAAGTTAGATTAATCTCACTTAGGTCATCGGAAAGGGCATCATTAAACCTAGTTCTGTTGTGGTGGCCATCTTGCTGTTAAGCTGGCAGAAAAGCAGAAAGGTGCTGAGTAACGCATCATAAAGTCCTGCCCCCTGTGCTGTGATTAAACAGTGGTTAAGGAGTTTAGTCTGGCTGGTCAGGCTACAAAGACATGGCACCCCAACTAAACTAACAGGAAAGGATAAGAGCATATTAACCAGGCTCAAACTGACTATGGTGTGAATGCATTTCTGATCCAGCACAGGATTGCCAAGAAAATTGCCTCTCACACTGACGCTGTGGCCAGGATGGCTGCAGCATTAATGGTTGTTTGCAGCAAGCCTGCTCTGAATCGGGACCGTTACCCAAATGGTAGCCACAGTGAGCCCGGTGCTAATGAAAGAACTTGTTGACAGTCAAAGAGCCAAAAAGAAATCTAAAGTTGAAAGAAAGCTTTCAGACGTCATATTTGCAATTTTGCATAGACCATGTAGGAACTAGAAAATGATGGAAAAGGTGAGATCAGATGAAACAAACAATGGTATAGGTGGTCAAACAGTCAAAAAGGTGTGAATAATTTCACCATACGCTAAAATAGCAAAGACATCTGGAGATCAAGCATTTATTTCCTTCTTAACATGTAACAAAAAAAAAAAAGCTATGCTCTGCAATTTATGAGCAGCATGCATATATTCAAGCGAAAGGAAGGTCTTATAAATAGACAAAAATCTGTAACAACAGATAGTTTGTTTGTAGAGACAGGTACAGACTACTTACCAGATCATGGTTTGTGGAGTTGGAATCATCTTCCGGAAAAGGGACATAAACAGCTAAGGCCATACAGTTGGCAAAAATAGCAATTAATATAAAGATATCGAATGGCCTGAGATCAAAAGTTAAGGAAACATCAGAGGAAAATTGCATACCACAACATCTTACAAAAACACTTCTCAAGGACGTATCTTTCACTAATAATGTGGTCAATGCGTTGCCTCTTTGACCACATTGTTTATTTAGCAATGTGAGTAATGTCATGTGGCTCAGGAGGTAAGGGTTTATCCTATATTCTGAGCCAGTAACCAGCGCCGCTCATATGACAACTTCGCCTTTGACAGTCTACCTGAGAACAGCTGTGGCTACAATGTAGCTATCTGTGCATGAATAAGTGGATCACTGAATATAATACGAAGTGCTTTTGGGTGGTCAGACTTGATAAAAGTGCTGCATAAGAACAAGCCAAAAACCATTTACCATACGTCCTTAGCTTGAAATATAACCTAAATCAAAAGATCTTACCATGTGAGTTTAAAGCTAATAGAATGGACCTAGAGTGTTATAGTAAATTAATTTCATCCTGTGCTAAAAACAGAGCGGTGACATAATCAAAATAAAAATATTCACCTAAAAAGCCAATTACTATTCCATTTCTATAAGTATCACAGCTTCTTAATATAATTATACAGCAGAAAATTCATTATAAAAGTCAATATAAAACATTCTAAAAAAAATGTGAAGCGATGAATAAGCACATGTGCTTCATGATGTATGTTTTTCATGCAGGACAAATGAGGACACCTGACCGAGCTGCAGCTGTACTCATGCTGGTTTTAAATCCTGAGGACACATCTAGGTTCACAACACATAACAAAACATAAAACTCTTTGAATATGTGCCACAGCCACTAATAAATGTAAATTTCCTTTGTAATATTTTCTGACTTTTTCTAATAGCACCATCTGTTTACTATAAATGGTCCATGGTTGTGTTGTGTTTGATCTGCATTTAATAGCAGTATTTTTGGATTTAGGACACAGTGACTTTCACTTTGTCTTTACAGGGGATAAAATCATGCTCTTCTAGTTTTACTGGAACAGTTCGCCCACCCAAAATGACCTTAAATAGGAAAATACACAACAACGATAAGCACAGCCTCAAAATACTTTTAACTTTGTGAAAAAGTTTTCTGACAGTGACTTTCGGAGATGGTTTTAACATCTAGCAGGGCATCACCATAAGTCAAACTCGGTTCCTACCCCATTTCTTTTAAGCATCATTGCTCTCACTGTAGATTTAAAGACCAGCTTTTCGTGGGTTGTTATTTTCTTCGAGCTGTTTCCTGACCCAAAAGGTCAACTTAATATTTGCTGGACTCAATATTTACATTCACTTGTATTTCCTATTTTGGAGTGTGGAAAAGATAAATATACCTCTGTGTCATGCCATATTTATTGCATAAAGAAACATGAAACTAGGCTCTATGAACAACTAAAAACATAAATGCTGTAATTCAGTCTAATCTATAGGAATAAATGTGTTTTCAGGGTGCGTTAAGCAAATGAGTTGTATGTAAAAAGCACTAAATAAAATAAGATTAGGTTGATTTGATAATTCAGGTCTCTAACGTGCAGCAAACAATGACTTACTCACAATTACTTTTATTTGCTAGTGAACTACTGTTTAAAAAAAAGGTGTAAAGATCTAAGATTGCATGGATTAGTGAGATATTCTGCCTGAAAAGTAATTCTATTTAAGGGCTTATTCAAATCTTTAAGAGGAATGCCAAAAATATATAATATAAAAATCCTGGGTAGAAGTTTTCTATTATTTCTTTTTCTATATTTTGTACCATTGCAAAGACATAGCAAGTAGCGCCAATACCAATTAGAACCCAGAAAGCCATTGAGTTAAAAAAAAAAGGTAATTTTAAAGTCCGCCAACATAAATGTCACTAAAGTCTTCATTCTCTATATATTTATATATATTACTCACCAGCTTAAGTCTGATCTGTATACTTTGAATTAGAAAAACTACTATCATTCAAGTATTAAATCGTTATTTCTACAGTAGGGAAGTAAAACTGCAAAGTTTTTAAACTGCTTTCATATTAAAAAGGTTAATAATGTTTATAAAAAAGGGAAAAACTTTCCACAAGTGAGGAACTTAACTTCTTCCCTGATCACAGGAGGATTAATGTATGAAAAACTGATTAAGAAAGTGGTTTAAGTGCTAGATTAGTCTTTTCATCCTTGTAGCTTACTAATTATACAGGAAATGTTATTAAATCTTTGAACGACAGCTTTAGTCAATCATCACATGGCCATAGTAAAGGATACTTCCACTCCACCACACTGATGCAGGCCCTGCGTAAGGGGTTGTTGAGCTTTAGGCAGAAAAGAGCCCTCGGTGGCCGGCTGTTGGCGTTGCTCCCTTGCTTCTTGCTTTTGGCATACTGCTGCCGCTTCTTCTGAGCCAACGCACCCACCGGTATGGTAGAAGAAGTTGCAGCAGGTGGGGCGGGCGGTGGTGGCGCTGGGGCTGGGGTAGGAGCAGGGGCCGGTGCGGGGGCAGGGGTTGAGATGGGAGGGGCTTCTGGGGCTGGTTCTGTGGCAGGCCCGTTGGCGCTCATGGTGTGGGCGTGGCTCTTTGAGGAGCATCCAGAAGCGTTGATCTGCCAGGGCAGACGAGGAGGCAAGTGAAAGGCAGAGCAGTCTGACCAACCAAGTGGCACGTCACCAGGGTGAGTGACTCTGATGCTGCTGGCATAATTTGCCTCTGAAAAAAAATTTTAAAATTAGGTTAGAAAAATTTTTTGTTGTTTTAAACTATAAATATAAAGAAAAATCCTTTTTGCTTAAAATTGTGTGATCCAGTCAAAAGTATATAACATACAGAAATGGTTTGTAGAGCCCCTTTAGCGGAAATTATTAAGTGGTCTTTTTTCTTTATTTCTTTATGCACAACACTCTTAAGATCCTGCCTAATAATTTCAGTCAAATTTACTCAGCAATTTAAACATTTTAAATTCTTTGTAGTTATTCTCCAGATCTGCTGATTTGGTCGTAGTCATTGTGTTGTTGCTTGAAAAGATAAAGCCAAGCTTCAGCCTTTAAGCACATGGTCTCAATTTCAGGGTTAGAATACTTTAGTACAGATTGACAGGTGACTAAAAAACTGCAAGGTGTCAAGATCCTGCATCTGCACAGAAAATGCCAAACTTATAAGCCTTCCAATACTGAGCATGACATTGGTTATGAAGATTTAATGCTTGTATCTGTGACTGATTCTCTCCAAATATGGCACAGTGTCTTATAACAGAACATCTCTATTTTAGTCCTCTCTGTCTAAAATACATTGTTTCTGTGCTCTACTGCTTCAAGATGCTTTGGAAACTCAAGCTGTGCCGCCATATTATCCTCAGAGGAAGAGGCTCTCTTCTGCCAGCCCTTTCAAACAAGTCACACTTGTTCAGTCTTTTTTACTTGCACTGACATTTAACAGACTAACGGAGGCCTGTAGATTCTGGGGTGGAGCTGTTTTATTTTGTTGTTGTTTTTCTGTAGCTTCTTTAATCACTACCATTGTGGTGCAGGGACATCTACTCCTGCTCACTGCTGAATGATGGTCTCTAAATTGTTTAGGCCAAATGTTTATGCACACCTGTAAGCTTCTAACCTGCTAACTCCTCCTTTTTCACCTTCTGATGACTATTTGATTAAACGCATCAAGTTACCTGGCTGCCTCTTTCTCTTGAATCGTATGGAAGTAGTACTCAATTTTGACTGTAATTTTAAATATTCTTTTACACTAAACAAGTTTTTCAGGATATTTGTCAATATGTCAATCAATTCATCTCTCTTTTTGTATTAGCAGAATAATATTAAAAACATTAAAGAAACCAAAAAGAAAGTCATTCTTGATCAGAAAACAATGATAATACATATTATTATATTTCTGGCCTTAAATAATAATTACACAAGCATTGCGGAAGTTGAACACACACCCTAAATACAGATTGGTCAATACAACCAAAATATTGGCGGAATTTTACCAATCTGGTTGGTATTTATGAATCCAACCAATTTTTTTGTTAAAACAACCAATCCAATTTGGTAGCGTTTGTAACCAATCTATATTGATTAAAAGAAAAAAAACACTACAAATTGGTGAATTTGAGGAAAATATTGATTCATTAATTAGTTTAACATTAGAGTCAGGTCCTGAACTATCAACTCCTCAGTTACTAGACTAATTTCTGCACCCGACGCCACTGTCACTGCTTACACTTTTTGGAATTTAATAGTAGTCTTAAAAACTTAACAGCAAAATGTATATGTTGCACACGTACACATCGTTTTAATTTTTCTCTAGCTCCATAACTATTACATACTACACTTGACGACAGCAAAACAGTCAGCGCAGTAAACCACCGTTTACCATTTTCATTGGTTGTTTGACCACTGAAAAAAATGCAACTGTTTTTTTGCATTTAGTTAATCATGTTTAGTTACTTTAACAGAATCGTTTCATGTTAGCAGGGTAGAACATAAAACAATTGTATTAAAGTAACTAAATATGATAAAGATTTTTTTTCCAGTGAACAAACAATTAAATTGGTTTATGGTTTGGTGAATATATTAGTTAATCTAACCAAAATGTGTTTAACTATATTGGTTGTTTTTCCAATCAATCAATTTTTAGGGTTTAGTCAATAAATTCAGCTTTGTTTCTTTGATTGTTATTCCATCCAGAAGCGATCAATATTTAATAATCTCATAAGTTACGGTAGATCTTATTCCACCTGGCCTGAATTAAGATCAAATAACATATATTCAAGTACTTTCTGTTATAAAATGAACACCTCTGATTGTCTGACCATTATTTGGATGCAAAGAAGCCTCCAAACACCGGTTATTCATGGAAATATATTATATATATATATATATATATATATATATATATATATATATATATATATATATATATATATATATATATATAT